TTATTATGGTCATTGTTATACTAGTAATAATAATAATATAATATTACAGCAACTATTATTTTGAATATTTATTATCATTACCTACTATATTATACAAAAATCATACAAGGCAATATTTTCAATAAATTGATGATAAGCATTTTAATTATATTTAAAGAATTTATGTGAATGATTATAGACATAAATTTCTAATGTCATAAAAAATAATATCTGATACAGATACAATTTATACAGAAATAATACTATTTGTATATTGAACGCTATCATAAAGTATTAAAAAAATTAATTCGCTTAATCAGACCATGCGACTTTATTACGTTGATCTATTATATATAAAATAAAAAGTCAAGATTTCATGAATATATTTCTTTTATCATCTCTTTTCATTTATTCCGTATAATAATAAAACGTATATTTCACTCATGTATAAAATTTTATAATTCCAATTTATCTACTTATTAATCTGTTATCATTACCCATCAATTTCTTTTGTATTCATGGTAAATAGACTGACTGAAAATTCCTCCACCACAGTTACCAGATCCTGAACATTTCCTCGGGCGTCGAAGAAGCAGGGGGTTTCGTGTTGCCTGTCGTGTTGGGAACAGTGTTTGTTTGGATCCTCGTGTTCCTCAGTATCTTTAAGGGGATAAGAGTGACCGGCAAGGTGAGTGTATGGTGATGACAAGAAATGACTGGTGGTGAATGGTGATGACAGGATATGACTGGTGGTGAATGGTTATGACTGGATATGACTCGTGGTGAAAGTGATAATTGAAAATGACTCGTGGTGATTGGTAATGTAGTGATTGGTGATTAGTGTGTGATGATTTTCAGTGACTGGTGATATATATTTTTTAGATGACTGGTGATTGGCAATGGTTGCTGGGGTGATTGGTGTTGGCTAATGATTGGTGGTGATTGGTAGTAACTGATGATTGTTGGTGGTTGTGATTGGTGTTGACTAATGATTGGTGGTGATTGGTAGTAACTGATGATTGTGATGGTGGTTGAAAGCACTGGGAGTGGTGATCTATTGTACTACTTTCATCCAACCCCTACCCCCATCCATCCATCCACCCACCCACTCACCCAATCCACCCACCCACCCACCCACCCACCCAATCCACCCCCCACCCACCCAATCTTCCCTCACCCACCCAACCAACCTATCACTCTCTCTCTATCTCAGCTGGTATGGTTTACCGTCACCTTCCCCTTCGTCATGCTCCTCATACTGTTCCTCCGGGGCGTGACTCTTCCCGGGGCCTTGGACGGTATCTACTACTACGTCTACCCTGACTTCAAGAAACTCGCTAGGCTTCAGGTAGATAAACGAACGCTTTGTTAAAGTTGTTTAAGATTTTGTCCTCATCATCTACCACTCTTGGCTTTCGTGTGTGTTTATTGTTGTTTATTTAGCTTGTTTTTTTCGAAACTTGGATTTTTGTATTTTATCAGATTTATTGATGGATTACGGTCTGTACCTTTTAGATATAAACCATACTCGATATATTTGTTTTATGTTAATAGCCTAGGAATTGAATAAATAAACAGCTTGAAATGTGAATGGATAAGTAGATGAATGGATGCTATGTTACCAAATGCTGAAAAAAAAACACACACACCTATACATACACAGGCTATGAATACACACACACACACACACAGTCACTCCCTCACCCAATCACTCCGGATTTATGTTGTCTCCTGTAGTTTTTATTTATTATTATTATTATTATTTTTTTTTTTTTTGTGAATTTTGTTGCATACAGATGGCTCCACATGTGCTTAGCCAGCAAGGAGTCTATCAGTAGGCCCTAGTGACCGATCCTGATTTCTCCATTCCTTGAATTGGCGGGAAAATGTGTTTTTTTCTTATTAATACAGTTGACATCGATTCCGCCATTATTGTTAATGATGTTATGATTATTAAATTGTTATTAAAATCTCGATAACATCTAAGACACTGAAATAATACAGAAGACCCTTTCAAAACGTCGAAGAAAGGGGTAAACAGGTGAGATAGGTAAGACTAGTAATCGACTCCTTGGTGAGTAAGCACTTGTAGAGCCATCTATGTGTAAATACAATAAATAAATTTGTATGTAGACAGAAATAAGTGCATACCTGTCAGTCTGGATATGTCTATGTACTAGACAGATAGATAGATGTATATTTTTTAGATAGATAGATGTATATTCATTAGATAGATAGGTGTATATTTATCAGATAGATAGATGTATATTTATCAGATATATGGATGTATATTTATTAGATAGATGTATATTCATTAGATAGATAAGTGTATATTTATTAGATAGATAGATAGATGTATATTTATTAGACAGATGTATATTTATCAGATAGATAGGTGTATATTTATTAGATAGATAGGTGTATATTCAATAGATAGATAGGTGTATATTTATTAGATAGATAGATTGATGTATATTTATTAGATAGATAGATTGATGTATATTTACTAGATAGATGTATA